TATTATTATTGCATATTGCAATATAAATCAGTTCGGTTCCAGCGCTTGAGAAGACACGTCGCGTGCGGGAAAGCTCTTGAGACGTAAAAGTTTAAAGATAAAACCAACAATAATTAAAAAAAAAGTGCAAACTAATAAGTGAAACAAACATTTTCATAGAGTGCAAACTGAAATGGTGTAACGGTCATTGAGGAGTAATGTGTTGAGTGATATGAATGAGTTAAGTGCCACCTGTCATTGGAGGCTTTTCACTGGACAGACAGGGGAGGTCAAACAAGAGGGGAGGTGGCCATCCGCAAAAAAAGCTGATAAGTTACTTTAAGAATATGCATGACCTGAAACAAATCTGCAATTTAAATACGGCAGATCCCAGTAAACATTTTCCGTTATTTGTCACCATTAACATTGCCCGTTATTCATTTTATTAAACATAACATTTATTTTTACTTGAAAATGTTAAAATAACTTTAAAATATGATTATGTTAGGAACATATTTTACTCTTTAAACAATTGTTTTGTTTTTAATTACTATCATTGCAAAATTGTATTAAAAAGTATTAAAAATTCTTACACGGGCAATGTTAATGGTGATAGATACCGTTAAAGTGTTTATTGGGATATCTTTAAAACCTATGAAAGGACACGGGATGGGGCAATAAATCTGCCAACAACAAATGCGTAAGGCAATCCCAATCGAGACCGAAATAAACACTAGACTCACAGAATAAACTAACACATTAATCATAATTCTAACACATTAAAAAAAAAGCCTAATAGCCAAACTCGAGATTTGTAAACATTAGACAACAGAATAATCGCGCTTGTAATTTGTTTAACTAATAAATAAATGCAATGCTTAATTTTGGAATTTAATAAAAAAAGACAAAACTCTATCACAAAACGTGCTTGGGACAAAATTTATTAAAAACAACTGACACACTTTACCAAGTGCAGGAACTATCTGACCAGGACACGGACAATGACAATAACGAACAAGACAAAGACCTCGACTAGGAAACTACACCCCTGCAGCGAAATAACAACTCCCCAACTCCAAATAGTAATCCCAAATGTTTGGAGTAATACTAATCGACTGGTCTAGGGGGATTCCGCGTCGTACTTAGTTTTAAGTCGGCGTAATTGTCCCCCAAAAACCAACACCCTCCCGTCCCTCCTCCATACCCCACTGAGCGTATAGCATAGGCTCGGCGAACCCGGGAATGGCTATTAAAACTATTCGCCTCTCGCTCTCGAGCCCCAAATAGGGGACAGTACGGAACGCAATGGACATTCGCACCCAGCAAACACGGGTGAAGCTGTGCAGTTGCTGGGGAAGAACAAAAATCGGCGTAAGTAAACATAGGCCTGTACGGGGTTCGAGAGTCAAGAGGAGCTGGTTATACGTCTCTTATATTCCTACTCATACTCATTGCATATTGCAATATAAATTAGTAATACTTCAATAATTTAACTTTAGTTTAACAGAAATTGCAGTTTTCCATTGCCCCTGCGTTAAGAATGGTTCTAATTTAAAAAATTTTGTTCTGCAACAATTTTAGTTAGCCTAAAATATCGCAAAAACATTTTATTTTCCAAATTAAAAGGATTGCTGTCATCACGTAGCCTTCTCCATTGCAAATTAAGTTCATGACTAAAAATATAAAAATTCCTAATTAATATTAATGGAAGTGCAATTTATATAAATCTCACTTCCAGTAAATTTTGGCTTACCTTAAAATTAATAGTTTGGAGTAATTAAATTGCAAAGATTCGAATTTATTTATTTTAATTTGTTTATTGTAATACTTACATACATACATGGGAAACATACTAAAATTATTTGAATAAACAAGATACTCCAAACTATAGTTTCTAATTTAAGATTATGCCACTATTTTACGTACGAAATATACACCAAGGCATACAAAACATGTTCAATGTGTTGGTACTTACCAATCAATTAATCAATTAGTTAAGCTATCATTTCCTCGATTTCTTCCACAATTAGTTGCTCGATTTCATTACCCAAATCGTTCATTTTTGACTAGCAATAGTTAATTAAATACAAACCAGAGATAAACGTTTCACGAAAATTTATAGGTTATAAAAATGCCGGTACCAACCTTCCACTCCGATTGGGGCGCTAAATTCAAAACTCTTGTTAACTTAAAGGGAGCTCTGAAGCACCTGCTAAAATTTCGAGGTTAGAATCTGTTAAAATTGATTTATGAGTCATGGCTGCTTTGTTATTGTAAATATGAGCAGCCGAAAACACGTAGTGGGGGAAACAAGACTATATTAAATGAAACGTATGAGCTTGTTAGGTAATAAAACGCAAACTAAAACTTATTTCTTTTCTGGTGATATTTTTAGCGGACCACTTAGCAAGAAAGATAGATCAAGACCCCGAGTGTCAGCAAGTTAGAAATTATAACCTAATTTTTTGCTCCACAACCAACCTTCAATTTATTTTTTACTCGATAAGCAAACTTCAATTTTAATTCCAAACTGAGGAAAGTAACATTTACCCAATAAATAAATTAGAATAAAGACTTTATTTTTTATGTTGCAATCGTCTATTTAGATATACCTATGTATATTTTTTATTCAGTTGTTTTTGGCTTTTTTGTAATTAGTTATTTTCAATTTTTTATATATAATATAATGCCACAGTGTGTTTCTGGAGAAACGAAAACGATATTGATTTGAAATTTTAATAGCATATCCAATTTGATTTAGACTATACCTAAAGTCAATAGTTTTCAAGATATTAATTTTTTTCGTTAAAATTTTGCTAAATGCACGTTAATCAATATTTAGCCTCTATTTTTTATTATTATGTTTGCTGATATGGGATTGGAATTTTTGGAATATTAAAACATTGTTTAAATAATTTAATTTTTTAAAGGTTTTTCAACAAATAGCTTGAGCAAAACCACTTGAAATTAGGCAAACTTCAAACAATAATAACCTTTTTATTATAAATGTAAAACCCTGTATGTTTTAACATAATCAAATAGAAAATTAAAGAATCTTTTGATTGGTATTATAATAACTGTTTCCTAAATTTGCAATTTCAGAGACATTTAACATTTTCTAATATTTTCAATACTATTTTTTATCAACAAATCTGTGAAATTACACATGTGGGTTAATGTGACAGTATCCATGGTTACCACCAAATCTGTCATTATTTAAAATTAATTAAAATATTTGATTGAAAAATTAATAACTCGAAAAATATTGACTTTATGTATAGGATATGGTAAAGCCATTTTATTCAGAATTTTATGTAGAATTAAAAAATGTAAAAATATATGAGGTGTCCTGTTTAAAATAACAAATTTAAAGACAAAAAGTATAAATCGAATAATTTACGCTATTAAAATTTTAAATCGATGACTTTCGCGATTCCCTAGAAACTTCTTACGGACTACGAAAGTCATACACCCTGTATATTAAACGTCATTTATGTGTTATGCTATAAAAGATACAACAATATTTGTATAAAAATGACAAAATGTACTAAACTAAACATTTATGAATACTGCTACTGCTAATTCAAAACTGATCCTGGCCACAGAAACATCATTTGCATAAAAAAGTTAATATATCAAATAATAATCAAATATAAATACTTTAACGTGTTATACTCAAATTTATAAAACAAAGTTGCTTCTTCCATTATTAACCCTTTAAAAATTGTTAAATTTAAAATTAAATTATCACCAGTGCCCCCTGTACGTTACAATCTAAATAAATTTTTGAAATAAAAAAGTTATTTAAAAAAAATTAAATTTCTTCTTTTTTAACCCAGTGAAGAAAAAAATACAAATAAAAACGAAGTTGTCAATGGACGATATTTTTTTGTTGAAAAAAGTACTGCATTTAGATATAAAAATAAGGTAAAAAAGTTTCAATCGATTTCTTGAACCCTTGCAAATCGACTGTTCGATCCTTTCCCGAAACCGTAGTTAAGAGCTTTGTTAAAAATTTAGATTTGAATCTTTCCTCTCTCTTATACTAATACATCAGATACGTAGTGAGCTTATCCGGCACTTAACCCTTTATGGTGCAAATGGCAATTTTCGTCTTAGCTAAATGAAATTTCGAAAATATATTTTTTGTTTACTTAAACTACTGTTTATATCAAATTCAAAATTTTGGGTAAAAGCCCTTTTATCCGGTGGGAAATTATTCCAAAGAACCCTTTATACAATTGTTTTTTCTTAAGTGCATTGGGATAATAATTTCCCAACTTAGAAATTAACTACAGAAGTTCAAAAAAATATATAATGTGAACATGTAACATGTTAATTATTTATTGTTCAATACAAAGGGACAACAAAATGATTATTTCTCTAATAGTAAATGGAAAACCATTATTTAGTTTAACATATAGGACCAGACAGCTTTGGCCCACAAAAATAATTAAACTTAACAAATATTATTTTTTCTAAATCAAATTAAAGTATAAAGGTACCCAGGAACAATTATGAAATTATACCTAATGTCATCATTATGATATCACTGCTGACTGATGATAACATAGACGCATGCATAATATGCAATGCATTTATGCATGCAAACTGAACTGAACTGATATGTATGTGTTTCCACAGTGAGTTCACTTTGACATCATGAGTGAGTAAAATTGAAATCATTCTTGATTTAGGTTTAAAAAAGTTGTGGAGGCGCCAGCTGTCAATCCCGGTACCTCCGCATGCTATATGCATTTCAATGCATTTCACCCTTATGTTATATAGAACTCAAAAATTAAATTCATATTGAGTTTATTTTGGGATCAATTATTAAATTCTAAATTAAAATTTTTTTTAAACGCATTAAACTGATGTCATATGGAGATCACAAATGAAAATCATTGATGATTTCATATTAAGTATTTATAATTAGTAAATTCTGATTTCATAGTAAGCTCAAATCATATAGTGATTTTTGAATGAAAATGACGATTGTTACAAAATAATAAACAAGAACGTTAAACTTTAGGTTGGTCATCTTCAGCATTAGAATCACCTTCAATTTCATCAGCAAACTGATTTATCAAAGATTTTTCTTCTTGAGACAGCTGCACATGTTTAACATCTAAATAAATACATTTTTGGAAAAATGTCCGCGTTGTTCGACATAACTATACAAAAAAAAGCTTTTTATTTTATAAATTATGTAAATAAATACCTATTTTATGTTGTAAATTATTAAAAATTTACAACAATAGTACACAGAACATCTTGGCCTAAAATTTTTAATTTATTTTTATTTTACTGTCTTTTTGTATACCTATTTCATTACGTAAATTAAAAAAAAAATAAACAATAAAAATTAAATGAATATATTTCTTTTTAAGTTTAAAAAAGCGGTTTTCTAAAGAAATATAATTTCAATTTAAAAAATGACCCTATATTGCGTATATATTTTTTTAATATATTGAATATAGCTACTTCTATATCAGTGCTTTAATATTTACCTAAATTATTTTTTGAATTTTTAAAAACACAGAAAAATAATTAATTTTTAATATGTAAGACATAAAATTAAAAAAAAACAAATCGAGAACGTTTACTGGGATATATATTTCCCACTTTGCGACATAAACAACTCCATGCAACAAGAGGAATAGAGCGCTGAAACATCATACAAGCATTCAATAGATGACAAATACTGCGCACTTGGGTATAATGCAACCCACAGAGCTTTAAGCTAAAAATTTGGTGGGAATTATAGCCCCCCGTACCCTATTAAGGGTTAAGGCAAATTTCAAATTTCGCGCCCTCTCCGCCTTCAAATTGCTTTAAAAAAACATCAAAAGTATATATTTACTGAGAATGCCCTAGCTGCCATATAATAATATTAATACCTAATTTCATTAAGTTAATTTTCTTACAAAATACTAAAAACCAGGGGCCACGGGTAGCGTAGTGGGTTAGGCGACTATGCCGAGACAAACTGCGTCCGAAGGTACCGGGTTCGATCCCCGGTCACAGCCTTGGGTGTTGTGCGCGTTGAAAGTCGGTAGATGAGTCTCATCGAGGACCGTGGTTCGGATTCCACGTTAAACAGTAGGTCCCGCTGAAGAACCGAACCTTATAGGCTTTGCCTGTAAGGGGCCGTTCATTAATTACGTGAGGTGTTAAGGGGGGGGAGGGGGTCGAGCCAAACCTCACCAAATCTCACGTGGGGGAGAGGGGGGGGTCTCGGCAAATATCACGTAATTTTTTTTTCCGAAAGAAAGAGTGTAAAATTGCGAGAAAACCGGGTTAAATTAAGTAAACAATTATAAGCAAATTGTTTTTTTAAATAAATCTAATGGAATCAAGCACAGATTAACTTATTTACATTAAAACCATGCATTTTAAAAAATCTCACGTGAGATTAAGGGGGGGGAGAGGGGGTCGAGCAAAATCTCACGACATCTCACCAAGGGGAGGGGGGGGTCGAAAAATCGCCAAAATTGTCTCACGTAATTAATGAACGGCCCCTAAGCTGGATAGGTTGATGGCGTTACTACTCTACTTTTTTTACTAAAAACCAGCAGTTTTATGAAAATTGGCAAGTTATCATATGTTTATAAATTATTTAAATTAAATATAAATTATAATACCCATGCATGTAAATAAACCATATAGTAATAATTTTATTTTTTTTTTAATTTTCAAAATAAATTTTTAATAAGGCTGGAAATTTTTCAGTTTCATTGAAAATTATTTCAAATATTTGAATTAGTAATTTGAATATTCGAATTATTCGAATATGCGAATTATTCGAATATTCGAAATTTGCGAATTATTCGAATTATCGAGTATGCGTATATTCGGATATTGAGTACATATTCGAATATTAAATTATCGAATTTTTAAATATTTTAATATCAAATACCTATTAAGGTCAATTGAATTCCCGGAAAGCAGAACCGACGCAGCGCGTGGCCAGTAGGAGGGGATGAACGCGATGCACTGCATGGAGACCGTTCAATTTCAACAAAATTCTTTAAATTAAACTCGCCATAACTCCTTAACTAAACGTGCGATTTTTATGAAATTTGAACAGAATACTCAGATTGGTACAGCGATGCTATTAAAATAAAAAACAAAATTGCAACCACAATTAATTAATAAATGCATCAATATTATTTAAGTCATAACTATGCTTAAGGTAGGGTCAACAAGGCCCACCTAATGGGTTTAATTTTATTTAAAAAAATTAAAACAAAATAACAACATTCTTTCCTACTGAAACTATAAAACACATATTTTTATATTATTTGAAACACAAAACAATTTCTTAAAAATAAAAGAAACAAAAGATACATATTTTTTTAAAAACCTTACAATCGGGCCTTATTTCTGTCTGGGACAAAAATACAGCCCTAGGTATTTTTTTAACGAAAAAGTTCCTTTTCTTACAGTTTTATTTAAAATAAACTAAAAAAAGATCCTAAAAAACGTAACAAAATACTTTTGGTTATATTTAAATAAAAACATGCAATATGGGCCTTATTTCTACTCCTTAACTATTTTTGGCAATTTGGACATTTAAAGTCCTCTTCGTCGAATGCGATTAGTCCCGTACATTCCTCATGTCCAACAATCTGGAAGTTTTGCAGAGGAAACAATACCAAGCTTGATTAATATCAGATCTTGTTGATTTGGATGTTCCTGCCTTAGGTTATTTATTAATATTAGGTTTTGATATTAATGTTCTTGGCTTTGGTGCTTCCATAACTTTAGGTCTTGATTTGGAAGTATTTGGTTTAGGTGTCACCGAGGGTGTCACGATGGTATTTGCAAAAATTGATTTTGTTACTAATTGTGCCTTGTAGTTGATGGCTTTCTTTCGGGGAGTTTTTGTTTGATTGGTAAACTTTTCGGGTTTTTCCTTTAGATTGTAAAAGGAAGTACTTAATTGGTCCTCGTTGTTTGGTCTTTCATTTTCGATATTTCGTTTGTTGTTAACTGTGTGTGGTGCATCCATTTAAACTTTCACTATTATTTTTGTCCTGTGTCGCAAGTGTCGTAGTAGTAGCCATAAATGCCAAAGGAATGTTATCGTCGCTATTTCCGTCATCATTTGTTGGTGGTTCTCTTAAAAAAGATGGCATACTGGGTGCATAAGCTTCCTCGGGAATGGCAGTTTTGTCAAAGGGGAATATACCCGTAGCTCTAAATCCATTAATAATATTTTCCAGCCACATGCATTTCTGCCAGACTTTAGTAAATATTTTATTGAATTGAGCTTTTATTATACGTCGATCAGGATTGTTTCCCCAGAATCGCAAAACCTCCTGATCCCAATGGGATCTGTAAACTGATTTATCCAGAGGTTGCAGTTCATAAGTGGTGTTGCTTGGTAGGCAGAATAATTTTATATCATGACGATCAGCAGCGTCTAAAATGCTATAATCCAAATGACAAGCCGCTCTATCAAAAATGAGTAAAACTGCCCCAGGGTGTTTATACTTTGCTAGATGTTCTATGAATTGAATAAAATGTTCCGTTGTCATGGAACCTTTTGGTGCCATTTTAACAAGTGTTCCATGAGGTAGATCATAAGTAAATTCGGGTTTTAGTTTTTTACCTTTAAAAATAATTACAGGTGGTATAGCTGCCCCAGTAGCAGAAACGCACCCAACAACGGTCACATTTTCAGCGTGCTACGGTGCCACCAGATGTAATCTTTTCACACCTTTTTTTGGCCAAAACTGCTTGTTGATGGTGAATTGTGAGTCTACACCCTTTTTCGTCCATGTTAAATATACGCTCGGGCCTATCTTTGATACCCATTTCATCCAGAATCGTTTCTGAAGTCATTTACAATGAATTTATTTAATTTTTGCGCTCTTCCGGGTTCATATTTTGGGCTTAACGTATTACTAATTTAGGATTTAGGATATTATTAAGTTCCCAAAAACTGTACACTTGTTGCAACTTTTGGGGTTACCGGGTAACCTACTTCTGCCAATTTTCGTTATGTTGATCATTAAGTTAAATGATTCCTTAAAGTTCTCCTTGAAATACCATAACGTTCAGCTGCCGCTCGCTGAGACAACCTACCACCTTGTACTGCGCTTACCGCCGATATTATTGCCTCTGATGTCCATCTGGCCCTCAAGTTTTGACAAATTGTGCCCATACATAAAACGACTAATTTTGACATTTAGTGAAGCATAACGGCGGCGATGTTGTTTTTACAGTATTTCTTTTTGCAAGTTTTAGCTATAAAAGGCTGATTTGGACATTTGGACACTATTAAAATCAGTCTACTGGTGGCTCAAATTCCGACTGGTCCAATACTTGCTGGAACCCATACCCAGACTTGAATGCATAAGGATTATTTTCTGGTGATATAAAACAGTAGGTTAACCTGTGGCTTTTATGCTGGACTTTTATGCCGTATTTAACCTATTTGAAAATCCTGCCACCCGTCCTGCCATTGATAATCCATACATACCACATTTTACATCCAAGTGAAAATAACCTATATAACATATATTTTGCATTTAATATTTCTTCTTTATAGCCCCAGTTGCAAGTGAACCTGCCTGTCTGTGAAGGAAATCGGTGCCTGTACTTGCTGTTGCCTTTTGGGTGCAAAGAACGAAATATTGACCTGTTCGCACACATAAAATTGTGTTATATTTATCTACGATAGACCTTTATTTTATGTATATATCCTTTATTTATGATTTTGTATATATTGTTTATATTTATATGAAAGAATAAACAACTTTAAGTTATTTTTGGCATTTAAATTAAACCACAAAAACTGATACCGAAACCCTATTTCTCCACTGTAAAGTTACTCTAGGTAGGTATTATCTCTGTCCAAGAACTAAAGAGACCATATAGTGCGTACTTAAGGCCATTACCAGCCTAGGTACGACAAAAATTTGGCGCCCAAGCAGGAACCTGATTTTTCCTGAAAAATTCCTGAAAATCTAACCTATAAAAACCCGCGAGAATCAGAGTAAGGTGGTTTAATTTTTACCAATTAAAATGACAAAAACAAGCCCGACGAAAAAACCCGACGGCCAGGTTAAAACACAAGGCCCTTCCCAGGCAGATGCTGGAAATTCTTCAACCGAAGGT